GCTCGATAATAACGTGACCTGCCCTGTCAAAGGGTCTCGCGCGCCGCACAGTAGCCGCAAATAAAGTTAGGCGGAAGAACCGCAGCTTTCCCGAGCGTCCTACGCCCCGAACACCAGGGTTCTGAAGGCGGCGGTGACGCGCACAGGAGACTATGTGGTGGGGTGACCAGGAAGCAGTGTGTTCGAGACAGGAATCGAGAAGCGTGTGATCGCTGAATAGAACCATGCTAGTTTACGAGTAGTTCAAACTAGAGTCCCTAAGAACAGATAGTAGCGGAACCTGAAAGGGGCAATTTAATATCCTCCAACCAGATTGTTTCCTTCTTAACACACTATTCATGTCTCCGACATCTTTAGACCTAATCACAAAATAATCTGTTAGGGTCTAAATTTTCCTTCTTCCTGTAACTACACCTACCACCTACTGCCCTTTTCCCAAATATCCTTCTCATTTTGCTAAGATGAACAATGTAGATCTGAAAGGCCATCCTTCTTGCTAGTTACTCTAAAATACGTTGCTTTCTAATTCACCTCCACTCCCTTGAACCTTGTTTCAAAGTAGATATCTCTCAACCTATCAAACAAACTCCCACCCATCCCCTTTTTATCCACTATATCCAATAATTAGTATCTTTCAAACTTGTCATGTCAAACATTTGACACCTAATCTTCTTGACGGTATTTAAAATCGCAGTCAGCGAGTGTTGTTCAATGCAGCCACGACCATAACTTTGCGCTAGGTTCCGAAAGGAAGACGCGCGGACGTGAACGCAAGGCGGCAGGGCTGCGCAGAACAGCTTCTTCCTCGCTTCCGCGCGCGCGTCCGGTGCGTAGATCGTCCATTGTCTTGAGCGTCGCCCGAGACCCTCGCTCCGCAACTAGCTTAATTTGCACTACCGCCAACTTGGCGAGCGGCTGGTGCTCTCTCACCGGCTGCAGCGGGCAGCAACTCGCGAGCGGGCGGAGGTGCCCCGGAAGTGGCGAGGGCGGCTGGGGGTGGCAGCGGCGGAGGGGGACGTGGAGACGTCAGATGCAAGCGTTGCACAGGTGTTAGAGGTAGGAAGGAGGAATGGTGGGGAAGGTGGCGGTAGAGGAATGCGTATGTAGCGCTGGAGAGCCAGCAGTTTTAGTGAAGTTGATGGCAGCGGAGAGGGAGAGTGGGGGTGAGAGGAGAATGGGTAAAGTGGTGACGGAGGTGAACGAAGTCAGAGGGTGGATAAGAAAGTGGATAGGCTGAGACGAGGAAGGTGGTAGTAGATGAATAGGGACGTCGCTCTAGTAGAGGGGAGGTAGATCGAGCAGTTGTGATGACGTCGAAGCTGAGTAGAGTGTGGGATGGTAACGAAAGTGATCAAAAATAGAGGGTGGGTAAGAAGGGGATAGGCTGGGATAGAGAAATACGGAATGGTGGAAGTAAACACGAGGTGTTATAGAGGAGTGAGTGGAGGCGAACGGTATGGAATGGGTTAGATGATATTCTGGCTCTGCGAGCGTGGCGGCGGGACGGGGTACAGTGGAAACAAAACGGTGTATGACTTAGGTAGGAGGCACAGAAACAGATGAGGGCTGTGGGGTAAGTTTGGGAAGTGGGATCTGCGCGGATTAGAGTGGATTCGGTCGAAGAAAAACGAATCATAGAGAAGTGACGTGATCGAGAGACGTGACGGAGTGTGGCATGGAGCATTGTGCGGGAGGAAGCGGCGTGTCGGGGAATGCATAGGCTGGGAGGGAAGTGTCTGGGAGTACCGCAGCGGGAATCAGAGGAGCGGGAAGCGTCAAAGTAAGAAGTAGCGTTACAGGGTCTGTCATTGCGCTTGGCATAACAGGGATTGGCGTAGCGGTAAATTTCGTATCTGGAAGTAGGATAACGGGACGAAACGTGGCTGGGGGTGTCACGGCAGTGAATTACGTAGCGTAGGGGAATGACGTGCTAGGGGTGTGGTGGTGGGCTGTGAGAGACGCAAAGTGAGTAGCAAGGTGGGGTTGACGTGTACTGACAGGGTTTGTGTGTATATCGTGGGGTTGGGATGGGAGACCTTGCTGGGGAGGGTGCAGCAGAACGGGGCGGGGAAGGCAAGGCCGAGCGGAGAGCGGCTGTCGGAGCAGGGCGGTGGGAGTGGCGAAGGGGCGCACCGTCATCTCGGGTGGGGCAGGTCGCGGGCCGTCACGCGACGCCAGGGGCATTCTGATGGCGCCGCCTTCTCCCCTCCGTACGCACAATGGCCCGGCGCGCGCGCCCCAACTGCGGCCACACCCCATTATTAAGTCAATTAATCGCCGCTCGCAGGCAAGCAGCGCTACGGCGCCGCCCTCGACTGCAATAGTTTCCTGCGCCGAACGCACACTTTGCTCGATCGTCCCCCTCTTCGCACTTGGCCCTGCGACTTCCAGGACGCTGCGCCGCTCAACTCGCCTCATTCAGCGCACTTCTGGCTCTTACTTCATTGCAACTTCACTCTCTATTCATCTTCACTCGTAACATTCTCCTAACTAATATTCCTACTAATTAAACGCTACATACAGCGCCAAATACATGGGTGATAACAATAGAAATGAGACTTTTGTCATAAATGTCGCAAGTAAAAATTAAGGTTTTTACACAGTAATTTAACCGGAGTTCTTCTTATAACTCTTTTAATAATGGAATATTTTGCTTCCTTCTTTTCTTTTTTCTTTCACAATTTTCTAAGTCACCCATCACTCCAATCAACTGTTTTCTGGGCGATTATCGCTTCCCTTCCGCTTTGTCTTAACCTCTCCCCTCACCCCTTACATGCACTTATTCGTACATTTACAGGCACTGCGCTACCACACAAATCTGTGGCGGCGTCCCGCTTGGTGAATAACTTGGGGGTGTAGAGGAGGAAATTCGCCACTTCTCGGAACAACAACTATCTGACATTACTTACACACATTCTACTATTCTAACCAGAACGTTCACAGCAGTTGAAGTAACAGGATTCATCAATCAATCCTGTAAGCTTTGTATACTGAAGTAAAGAAAGCAAGAAACTAATTCCTATTTATTTCTCAGGGCAAAATAACAAATTGTTTTGTTTTCTATATATGAATTTAACTCGGTTTAGACTGCTTTTTGTTTCTACTATATAATCATCTACATAATGAACTATTACTACGTCTTCTAAGAAATAGTCTAATTGCAATGCTCGCATACCCTTCATCGTAATGTCCTCGTCCAAAAATATTAACAAATAACTAATAACATAATCCCATTCGTCTACCGTATTTCACCATTATACCTCTCCATTATAATCACTTTCGCTACGTAGCGACCGGTTAAATTCGCATTCTATTGCGACATTTTGTGTACTTTGATCCAGTCATATGAAGCTCAAATCCTCCAATACCCTTCCCAAATCACCTTCTCTTTTCTCCTTCTTCCCTTGGCGCCCCATTTCCCTCCTGCCGTCCTGGAACTCACATGGCACACCATTTAAAACAGAGGGTAATCCCGGCGCGGCGATGGGGGCGGCGGCTACCGACAAACTTGGACGGTAGAATGCGCGGCGTTTGCGCGAGCTGCGAGTTTGCTCCAATTAGAGTGCGCGCCGCTCATTCATCTGTTTTTGCGCCGGTGGCGCGGCATGTGGCGGCCGCCGCCACCTCTCCGGCAGCCCGCACAGCCGCTGCGTCGCCGAATCCCAAGCCCACGCCAACGCCCGCCCGCCCGCAGCCCGCCCGCGCTGCAAAAACAGCCAGCGCTCTCTGCGTGTCGGAGCCAATTTATTGGCGCGGGCGGTGCCACTAGACTCGCGGCCAGAGGTCGCTGCTCTCTGGACGGTACAAGCTGCTGTGTTGGGAGCGGTGGTTTGGCGATTTTCTTGCTAGTCAGTTTAATGAAAAGTTCTCTGGGCGGTGGTATGTATTTCAGGGTTAGAAAAATCCATCTGAGATACAAATATACTTTTATGAATGGATTTTATCCAAAAGAAATTTTGTATACTTACGTATATTTCTCCAAAGCATTGTTTTCAGGGTTTGGGAGGAGTATTTACGTTCTGAACTGGCAATAGCAGGAATAATATGTCTCACACTATAGTGCACAAAGTGACTCCTTCTAGTAAATCATTTAGGACCAAAATTCGCTAATTCTAGAGCTCGAATGTTTGGTATATGGATTTGTTAAGGACTTCGAAAAACAATCATTAAAGTCATCAGAATCTTAAGCATTTATGTATTTGGACTGTTAATGGTATTTGGGGAAGGTCTATATATTTAAGTGAGACATTGAAAACCATGACTTCGTTATTTGTTAATTTATATTTTATGCAATCACAAAAATGAGGACTTGCACGCATTAATGTTTACTTTGGACATCATTTCAATTAAAAAGAAACAAGCAAGAAGTAAACGTATATAGTAGTATGTTACAATAAACTATTGATTTATTTTATGATTAAAGGGAAACAATAGTGAGACTTAAATAACGTTCAGAATGGTTCTTTGAATTCCAGAATGTTACAATCAGCCAATTTAAAGCTCGAATTGCTTATGTTTAACGAAAATACCTCATTTCTGAGAAAAAAGTTTCAAACAAAAATCTCCCACTTTAAATCATGGTTTGAGGGTAGAGACGAGCTTCACCCTGAACACACCAGAAATCGTAATTGCTTAACGACCAGTAATAATTATACTTCCTTTGATAAGATTGAAATTACATTATAGAAGTATTGTTTAAAGTGCACCGCAGTCAAACTTCTTTTTCTATTTTAGTTTTGGCTGTCTATTACATTACTAATTTAGTGGCAGATCTCGAAAACGTTAGTTACATATATTTAAAATACTCTTTCAAGTTTGCATTATATTATTTTTGACTCAATAGATGCCTTTGGAAAACACATGAACAATTTAATAATGTGACTCAAAATTTAGGAGATTAAAATTGATTTAGTACTCCTTAAAGTGTGATAAAAAAGAAAAATTTCACATTTTCAAACTCGTGGGACAAGCACTGATAATCTCGACGTGCGTGTACTCACCTGCACTTCGAGCTCGAAGCCGGGCAAGTAGGAGAGCGGCACGGGGTGGAAGGGGTTGTCGAACGGGGACGTGTGGAACTCGAGCAGCATGGAAGGGCCCGAGCTGACGATGTCCGGCACCACGTCCCCACCGCACAGCCGCACCAGCACGGGGTCGGTGGTGCTGCCGCCGTCGTACACCGTCAGGTAGTCCTGCACCAGGTTGCACTGGTCCCACACCCTGCGGGACCAAAGAATACGGAAGATCGTTTAAACGGTGAGTGATGCTTCTGGGAGTATCAGTTGCTGAGGTCTTTAGTCCCGTAAGTGAAATGCATGTTCTGTTCTGGGTGCAGACGATGTTGCACCCTCAAGGTTGTAAGATTCAGACCCGCAATACGGCATGCGGGGATTTTATACCTCAAGGTATCTCTCCCATCGGAACACATACCTACTGAGAAAAGCTATAAGCTCCAGTCGTGTGTTAGATATAGTCAAAATAAATGTACGCGTATGTGCCTGTAGGGAAATAAGAAGAAGAAGCAGACAGTGGTTGAATTTGACCCAATTATATAGCTAGTGAAAATACGCTACCGTCAGGTTTCCCGATGATGCAAAGAAAACCGTATGAAATCTTAAAAGACGGATAAGTACGCTCGCCCAGAGCAAGGGCGCACTCAGCCCACTCAACGTGTGAACGGTTGATGGTCGGCTGATGTGTTCGTGCACTAAGTGCCTGTTATAATAGGCCGATCATCAGGACCAACACAAAAATAAACAGACAAAATTTATGGGTGTGGTGTGGTGTGGTGTGGTGTGGTGTGGTGTGGTTTACTCCCATAGAGTTGGGTTAAGATACTGGTTGGTCTGTTTGTAATTTGTGGTAAAGAAAGTTAGTTCACGGAACGATTTCCCTGGGTTCTTCGAATTCCCTTGTCTCGTATTCCCCTATTGGCGCAACATGATTCACACCACATCTTCATAACGACCGACCTCTCAAAATTATTTACCCTGAATAGGTATGACCATACGATTCAATATCTGGTATCATTTTAAAATAGAGCATTCAAAATAATATATAGCCTGATTATGAAAATATATGCAAAACATTGGTAACCTAAAACAAATCAGCCCACTGCTTATTACTTGGAGGCTGATTTTGAAGACCTAAAACATCGTCAATAATGATCAAGAAAATGCTCGTAAAAGGTTTTAAAATGTTTTAAATGTTCATTACCAGAAAATGTCTGACATTAATTATCCAGAAATCAGCCGAACTGACAATGACTCTGACACACGTCACAGGAACTTTGAGTTATTGAAATTACAACTAATGAGCGATGTAATCGTATTGACTGTCTAGGAATTCTGTGGAGAACATTTGTTACATTTCATAATATTAATTGAAACAAATACCATTAAAATTTTATTAATGTTGGTGAAATCAGCAAAAGAAAGCATTAAAATGACTGAAAAATGTAAAAAAGTAGTTAGTTGTCAATTGACGAAACATTGAAAAACATGTCATATAGATATAAATGGGGTATTTCCTTTTGTTGTAGTATAAAATTAATTTCTCTACTGTATGGCATTGTCCCGATGTGAAAAGAAAAAAAATTACATTTCATTAAAACCCTCCACGTTTTACTAAGCTACTGCTCAAAGGTGCTGACTAATTAAATCATTGTCTTAGTAGGCATTGCACAAGCGCACAATTTCTTCAAATCTTTTTTGATTAGAAATATAATTTTCAATCACAAAATACAATAAAATATTGAAAAAATCGTTCGAGTTTATTACTTCGCGATTCCGGCAGCATCAACGTATACTATCATTGACCCATAGGTGCAGTGGGAGTAGTGTGTAAGTGTAGTTTTTTATCACGGGAAGAAGGCTCCCAACTGGTCTCCTAATGTGTGTGTGTGTGTGTAAGAGGTGAGGATAGGACAAGGAAGAGGAAGGAAAAATATCGTGCGATTCTTAGTCCTTTTGCTATGGTTCTGCCCTGGCATTTATCTGGTGCTGACAGGAGAAACCACGTGTAACTTCCTATCGGAGCAGCCGACCGCTGGCATTCTACTCCAGGCAGCGGATGAATTTGTTCTTGCGATGATAAGATTAATTGTTCGATGATAGGATTATTCTGTCAATTCTGTAGCTCTTTTTCGATTTAAAATCATATCTATTATACAGGAGGTATCCTGGTAAGGATATTTTTTCAACAATGCCCGTCACAAATATTGATTCTTAATAGAAATAATGTTACTAAAGAGGTGAGAGTTGGTATTTCCAGGCACCAGAAAACATTCGCGTATAATATACGATAAATTATGTATGATGTATTTCTACAACGGGAAGGGAAATCTCTACACGATCTCACCAATTTTTCTCTTCTTTATCTATACTTCATCGTAAAACTCCGGAAAAAGTTCTTAAATGGTAATTGTTTACATATAAAGAACGAAAGTTGCAGGGTCTTTACGTTCGGAGATGATATATATGGTTTAAGAACGTAAACTGAGCGATTCGGCAATTTTATTAATCTGATTATATTTAGACAAATACTGCGTAAGAGGTCGTCAATCCATACGCCATATGTTGTGCTAAGTAACTATCATAATTCTCTGTTAAATTAAAAATGGAGTTTTGGAAATTAACATTTATAAAAGGAGCAAATAATGCATTCATAGAACAAAATGTTAATAATATAAAAATAATACGAGGAAATGTTAATTTTGTATTTAAAGTTTTCCTCATACCAGTTCGTTTCGCAGCTGTCCAATTTACGAATATTTTTTGAAAGAGACTGTGTTTTATCATCAGTAGACGAGAAAATAAATGTACAAAAATGCGCAAAAACATTCCTGAATTAAAGTAAATATAGGATATAAAAATAGGAGAACTGCACTGCAGAGTTCAGTTCGAACAAATATTACAAAAAGTACAAAACAAATATGAAAATGGAAACTAGAATAAACTTCGACATTCACGTCCCCGAAATAGTATTATTTTTGCGTGAAAAGATTAGTTACAAGGTAGTAAATCAGTGTAGCAAACGGATGTTCGTGTGGCAATATTAATGTGCAAATGTAAAACTAATACATGAAAATATATAGCTAGTTCAGAAAAAAATTGATGGTTATAAATACAATGTAAAAATTACATGGATATCACATTATGCGGTAGAAGTGAGCAATGATGAAATCTAATGATCGCATTGTCGTTGCTGTGTAGATGAAAGATATGTGGACAACACGATATCAGTCCTGGTCAACAGACTGTTAAATGACATGAGCGTCCTGGAGAGATTCCCTTTTTTAAATAATCTAGTGAGTTAGTTTTAATTGTTTACACGGCGCACAAATTACTTGGGCAATGAGTTCTGCAAGTGAAGAGAAAATCAGCACGGGAGGTGGCGGATTCTCGGATCCTCCTTCGCTGGATCGTCAGACCCGGTGCCAACCTACACACCTCGTCTTGATTCGTTTCTCCCTTTCATTTAGCAATTCCAGTGGGGATCTGTTCCAGCTGGCACCGCAGCTCCCGACACATGTGGTAGCGTGGTAATGTGCATGTAATATTGAGTCTGTGAAATAGGACATGATGTGACAAGGATGAGCTAAGAAAGATAGAGTGCGGTCTGTGGCCCACTTATTAGCGTAATGCTCCAGTACTCGTCTTATATATAGAGGAGCATAACTGGAGAGACGGAGAACTACCCATCAGAACAGCCGGCCGCTAGTATTTTCCTCCTGGCTGTGGTTGTATTCGATCCAGCTATGTAGAGATTGTCGAAAACCCACCACGGTAGAGACTCAAACTCTAGAGTCTCCCAGTGAACGATGATGCAGAGACAACTGAACTGCTACTAAGCTACAGCAGCCGGTAAGATCCGGTGAGAATGGTTTGGGGGCGGCAAGGACAATCCACGGACACCGAGGTTCGGGTGGGCCGGGAGTGAAGCGAGCGAGCAGTTAACGATCGCTTCCTCAAGCGCGGGCGCGGGCGTGGGCGTGGGTGGCAGCCGCGGGCGCTAACGAAGATGGATCCCCCGCGCCGCTCGCTCGCCGCCCGCGCCGCCCGGGCGATCGCCCACCGCCCCGCTCCCCGCGCCGCCCATTCATCCTCATTTGCACGCGTTCCCACGCCCCCGCCCCCGCCCCCGCTCCCTCCACCGCCGGTCCTCGTGGAAAGAGGAAAGGTCCGGCTCGCGGTGGCTCAACTGATATCACTATTGAGACTCGGACCGGATGATCTTCGGGTCTGAGACCTGACGATTGCCGGATTTACGAAACTGACTAGATAGCTGGGTCGAATGCAGCAGTTGTCTGTAAAAGAATTCTAGCAGCTGCTCTTGATCGGTAATTTTCTGTGTTTTTTTCGCTTCACACTAGGCAAATGCCCGCGCAGTACCCTAACAAAGGACCATGTACTACTCGATCTTTCCACCCCATAGGGGGTTGCCACGACTGCGTTGGAAGTCGTAGTTTCTGGTGGAGAAATGTAAACTGTCACCCGGACCCTACGTTTCACAGTGTAACTTATGTCGAAAATCTTAGGTCGGTCCTCAGTGAGTAGATGGCTTGCTACTGACCGTTGGGCGGGATTGAGCATGGAATGCGTTAGCCAACATCCCCTGTGCAGTTTGGCGGTTTACTTCAAACTCTTATATAGAAGTCCGAATGAAACTCGCTGTCGGCGTTTCCCAGGTTCCGGCCGACTCACGTCGATAGCCTCGACGGGGAAGCAGTGAGGAGACGGGTTGGGGCCCCGAGACCTCTGGGTTTTGGCCCGGGCTCCCAGTTGGCACTTCACTTCGTCGTGGTAGTGGCCCGAGAAGGGATGGGCAAAGAGGAGGGACTTGTCCAGGCACATGCGTGTAGCGCATTGTTTTGAGTCCGGTACTAGCGTAGATAGCTAGGACCTCTGAACTGGCAGGGTGTCCCGACCCAGGAATTGAGGGAAAGATTGCTGCGAGGGCAAACTGCATTCTGTCGGCGGGGGAGGGGGATAATAAAAGCTTAGATGTCCATCCCGGGGTTAACGCCCTCTGGTAGAACAAGCGCATGTATGGTGTAGTAGACAACGCAGAGTCCATACTGCTCGATCTTTCCTACATCTTCCATGGCTAGTATTCTCCCCTTACACAAACACACTTACATGCATTAAACTATCAGATATTTCGGGAGACCAGTCGGGAGCTTAGAGTTTGTCCCGGTTGGGAAGCTGTCTCTCTACTGG